GACATATGCCAACACTCTACCAAAAATATAATTTTTAATACCATCTTGAATCGATAGTTATTTAAAATGAAATAATCTAACTGTAATATTTAGAATATAGTATGGTGTCGAGTTTTTAAAAATTCGGATAAACTTTTATTTTTTTCTATTTATGATAACATGTTACTATTATAAATAATTATGGTCTACTACACTGTCTTATTATAGCCATTGCATCCTGATAGCGCTTCTGAATGTATCTTTAATTTTTGATAGATTTAGATAGCAGTATGAAGAGATATATGATTTTTTCCCTTTGTTTTAAAACTTCTAAAAATATTAGATGCTCTATTAGTAATTGCATCTCATAATCCTTATGAAATTTTATCTTCAAACTGTATTGATTATATCTCAAATGATTCAAACGGATAAGTTATACTGCGATATAAGAATTTAAAAAAAATTGTTGAGTCAATCTCCCTCTACATCATAATGGATCAAAACTCTCGTAATCTGATCTGTACGACAGTCTGTATCCATAATATTCAAACATAGTAAGTATTCCATTTTTTGTTAAGTAATTTATAATGTAACTAGTACTTCATTCAAAATCTCCTAGAGAAAAAAAGAATGGACTTACTATTTGATCAATAAAATAACAGAGTTTACTTCGAAATATTTTCATAGGATAGTTATCTGGTAATTCCTTAGGGTATACACATAAATAAAAATTTTTCGAGTGTCCCGAGTTCGTATTTATAGTAGCAACACATTTTACTGTCATTGGCTTATTTATGTATGTTTTAATGACCATTTTTTCGTAATTTTTATTAATTTTTTTTTTATACTTTCTTCTTTTTACCTTCCCATTTTTAACTTTCTATTTTTAAGTTAAGTGAACAACGTTGATGATTAGCATCAGCAATGGCTTGAATCGTATCAAACAATTTCCCGTAGGTAGGAAAACATATCTTGTCTTAATTGCGTTAGATATCAATTTACTGAACTCACTGAGGCATTCAAGCAAGGTCTCCGAATCGTTAAAATTAAAGATCTTACTCGACTTTACTTTGACTGGCCCTGGCTCAAACTCCGTTCTATATTATTCGAAATTTTTATCTTCCCCTACCTTCAGAGAGGTACAAAATGGGTGTAAGTAATCATTTTATTCATTTTATTACTTTTTTATACCCTAAATAAATAATCTGGAAACATACTGTTACATTATGTTCTTTGATATCTATGGCTTATTGTTAAAGTATTTAATTTTTAGTTAGAATTCCTAATAGCACATGCCTTGAAACATTCAACAATACAACAATCAGATTTTATTAGAAAAAAGTTAACGGAACGTTGTGGAACATTCTAAAATAGTACAAACAACGTTTTATCAACATTTTTAGAACGTTGTGTGCCATTTAAGCATAAAAGAATTTTTCCAGAATTTTTTAAATATAAGCGTACATTCCACTTATATTTTGTAAAAACATAGCCATAGCAGCAATACATAGACATAGCGAACGATAAGGAAACGTCAATAGCGTTACAGCAGAAAAGCGGCATTAAAGCCGTATAATTTTCTCTCTCTCTCTCTCTCCTTCTTACACTTTCTGCTGTGTATAGAGCGGCGGAGATACAAAGACAGCATAGACGCAGCTAGTACTCAACACTAAAAAAATTTAGTCAAGTCTACTAGAAATTTTAGTAGTTATTATGTCAATTCAATAGTAGCACTCTAGTATTATCTTGTGTAGTAGATTTTACCTGACAGATTTAGTAACCACTACCGAAGACTACTGAATCATTTTTAAAGTATTTTAAGATCACTCTCAACATATTATTGAATAGTTTTTTGAGAGAACTTAAATTTTATTTCTCAAAAGAGTATGTCAAAAGGAAAAAATTATACTAATAAAAAATCACAGCTCGTAACATGAATATTTATTTATTTTTTTAAATTATAAATCTAGATCAATAATATATATATGCATGTGTGTTGACATAACGTTTGTGCACCAGATTTTATTAACATGACTGAAAATTTAAATTAGATTTATCAGAGTGGACTAGTAAATTGACTCGAGATTGGGTTTGTTATTTTCCCCATTTTCCCTAGCCTTATTAGTTAGTGGACTTTACTAGACTTTTTTTCAGTGCATATTTGTTCATCTCTCCTTCTGACATATGGCAGTATATACAGCCGTAGTGGTGTATACATCATAAATATATCTTTATTTGCTGGAAATAAAATTCATGTATGCTATTTACTCAACTTTTTGCTAAATACATTTTTAACTTTGTTTTAAAAATAAAAAATTTTGAAAGTATGAAAAGTAAATTTGAAGAAAGTTGAACACCGAGGAGAAACAAATGTAAAATAACATAGTGTTAGTGAAACTTTACTTATACGTAAGTAAATAAACAAATAAGCCACTTAAAATATGCTTTTGCAAATTTCTACTGTAAAGGCTTGACAATCTGAAACTCATAAAACTCGTTCAAAATGACCAAACAAATACGTTTAATATGATCAATACTATAGACGAAAAATGCACAGTATAAAACAAAATTTTTAGCGCAAAAGGACTCATTTCATAGCTCTATTTATTTATTTATTTATTGTTCAAACGAAAGTATTCCCAGATTATAAGTACAATCACAAGTAAAATGATAGTATTTGGCATTAGTGCATACAATATAATAAATTAAAAATAGATCGTGTCAACAATTGATGAAAATAGAAGAATTATGAATAAATGATTTGAAGTAAAAAAGTTAGAATCCAAATACAAAATGTTTATTAATATGAAATAAAAATTGATCAGCTATGGCAAAAACAAAAATACTTTAACAAGCAGTTGAATTAGCAAATTGACGAACAAGAGTGAAAGGAGTTAATAAGATTGTTCCAAAGTCTAGGTGATCTAAACACAGCCTTGTTATAGATTGTGTTGTATATGAAAAAATTTTACAAAGAAGTCGTCGTTCCCTTAGGATCTCTAGTGTAAAAAACATAAATAAAGGGTACATCAAATTGTTCGAGGAGGAGCATTAGTTTTAGCATTATTTCAAGATCATGATATCCATGTAGGGATTCAATGTTAGGGAGTTTGAACTTAAATGCAGTCTTGGATTATAGTCATGTAGCAAGGGATTCATAAGAAAGCCTGATTCGTAAGCTAGCTATCTGATGAACCTATGCCAAACACTTTTAAATTTTTTGATAAGATATAGGTAAATAGGCTACTAGATAGGAGAGGCATATAGTAAAGTATGTAAGATTGAAGGCTTATAGATTTGGATGATCGCAGTAATGTTAGAGAGAGCACGCGGTGGCGCGGTCGGCTGACTTGTAGGACAGATCGCAGGAGACCATGGTTCGATTCCCAGCTAGTACGGCTCTTTTGAGCAAGTACCTCTGTGAATTTTCACATGTGCTTTTTCACTAAGCAATGCTCCTCGTGAAGGGATGGGGGTCAACCTTCTCGCAGTAAAATGGCCTACCACTTAGATTTTTCGCTCTCGAGGTGGTATATGTGACATCATCACCGCACCAATGAATAGAAAACTGTATTGAATAATGTATCATGAGTAACTAACATTGTAACATGTAATCAATACTGTAGTATGTAACCAATATTATGTAAAATGTGCCTTACGGTAACAAGGCTATATGTACTTGAATACAATAAAGCCTAAAAAATGAATACACTACGTTAGTAGGTATTTATTATTATGAAAAAAAAGAAAAAAAAGTAATATTAGAGAAAGTCCAAGTCTGAAATTTTTGCTAGATTGGAACAAGTAAAGCTAGGGCGAACTAAATAGTTAATGATACCAGACACATCCTTAAGGCAAACACAATTAGACTTTAGTACACAAGTGAGATGAAAGTTCCATGGATACTGTCTACATTGAACACCATTACCTCTATCTGATTAACAGTTTGGCAGGCTGCAATCTACATAGTTTGTTGTAGAAACGATTAAGCTATTCGAGGCAGAGGAGTTTTTCGACTTGGTAGTGACTTTGCCCAAACCAGACATCATGACCTTAGATAAAGCTGTTCTGAGAGATTATAAATGCCTAGAGTAACTGTTAAATAGGATACAAAGCAGTCAAATGCAAATTCATACTTAACATCATGCCTAAGTGAATGAAGAAAGTTTTGAACACAAAGACTAACACTATGACTAATAGGAAAATAATCGATAAAATAAATTGAATTTGAACGATTTAGACGACCAAATTGCTAATGCCAGCATCACCTCTTTATTATAGTAAAANTTACACTTGTCACATACCCATAAGAAGCCGTTGATTTACAGTTTCTCCCTTGTAATTCACAAAAAGGGCTATTTTTTAAAGCTGTTAAGATTTTAAACCCCGTAAAAATTTATACTAAAGAAAAACCTTTTTTTCCTCATATCTCGAAACTTTATTACCAGAGCAACAAAGTCGTGGACCTTAAACCCTACATTTTTATTGCCACAAGAAGTAAAAAATTTTAAAAAACTTCTGAAAATTTCTAACATTCAACTTATCTACTGTATTATTATAAACTAGAAAAGTTACTCAAAAATAGACTAGCAAGTATTGGCCACACACAGAGTTTTTACGTTTAAGACCCACCGTGTTCTTAAATAACATTGTAACTCGTTGAAATATATGCCCAACGCACACTTGACAAAAATGGATCATTGTTTGGAAAAAAGTGACGATCTTTATCATGTTTCTCAGTATAATTAGAAAAATAAAAAATGCTGTATCATATTGTTTGTTTCATAACTGATATAAATTTGATGCTTCAGGACCATAATATAATGACCTAAGCATAAATGAGAAAAAATGTTACATTTTTACGTAAAAATCAATGTTATCCATCTGCAAGGCCTACTTTTATATCTAGAGCTTTAAAGGTAGAAAAGCACTATGAAAATCTATTCATAGTCATCAAAATGCTTTTAAAATCAAAAATACAATTGGATCAACAATTATATAAAAGAAAGCTTTTAAAATACCTTGGTTGTACAGTTCCATGAAACGTCTTTGGTACTGAGTAAGCTCTGATCTACTAGGAACATCATCTAGTTGTCTGGTTAAAGATGCTATTGATCGATTTTTTTTTGCTACTTGCAATTTCATACTGTTAGTTTTTTTTTTACTTTTGTTATATTTTATAATAAGATTATCATCTTTTCCTAAAACTCCGAACTTCACTTTCTCAGTTTTATCATTGAAAAAATATAAATGTAACTGACATTGTTCCCGAAAGTCCACTTCTTGGAATTTAAGTTTATCATACAGCGTCAGTAGTCTCTTTAAGTTTTCTAAAATTCTGTAATATAACGGTAAGTTACACGTGAAGAGCAATTTACTATTCTAATGATATATCTACTTCAAGCATTTTTTTCTAAGCAATATTGTTAAATTAACGTGTACCAAGATTTTTTTTTTCAAATATAAGATTTTCTAAATTTATTAAGTAGTATTTGCCAAAGTACTCTGTTTGGTAAAAGAATAATTTTTACGGACAGCCAACTTACCTTACCTATTAAAATTTTTTTAAAGTTTTTTAGATGCAAAAATTATGAATTTTTGATTTTCTAATAAGGTAAGCAAATTCAAGCCTTTACAAAAATTTGATTTCACCTTTTTTTAAACAAAAAATTTAAACGTAATTCTTAACTTTTTTAATGGTTTAATGTTAAAAAGACGTTTTCTTGTTTTCTGATCGTAAACGTCATGGAAAATAGTGCTAATAAGAGCCAAGTACTACTACTAAGATGTGGGTACAACTACATTTTTCTTTAATTTCAATGAAAAGCGGAAGTAGGAACTTTTGTACGAAAGCTCAAAAAAATTTATTTTTATACAAAAGTAAAAAAAATTATAGAAAATAGAGTTTTGAAGAAAGTTTATAGTTAAGACCGTTGGCACCGACACACTAAAGAGTCCTGCTAACAATCTTATTAATAAAATGAATAATTAATAACATAAGCATCGATTACAAGGTGTCCCAGAGCGTTTACCAGCCACTTCATTATTGATAAAAATAAGTAGTTATTAACATTAGCACCTATAGTCAGATGTCCGGGTACCTGGTGGCTATTTTGTTAATCAAACAAACATTGATTTATGACATCAGCGTCTATCACCAGTTGACCTGGATTGTTTACTAGCCACTTGACTAATAATAATAATAATAAATCATTAACAATATAAGGGCCTGTTACTAAGTGACCCAGGGCGCTTACTGACCACTTTTTGTATCAAAAAATAAATTATTAATATTGTAAATACCTATCACTAGATGGCACAGGGTGTTTACTATTTCATTATGAAAAGAATGCATAACCAGTAACACTGGACACTTGATTACGGATAAATAATCAATTAATCACATAAGCCCCTATAACTGGAAGTTCAGTGCGTTTGCTAGTCACTTTATTAATAATGAAATGAATAATTATTAATACAAGTGCCTACCATCGGGCGCTTTAAGGCGCTTTAAGGCGTTTACTGGTCACTTCATTATTGGTAAAAAAATAATAACATAAGCACCTGCCACCATGTGTTCTGGGGCGTTAACCAGCCACTTCATAATCAATAAAATAAATAATAAATAATATAAGCACTTATAATTGAATACAAAACCCTCAAGTGACTGGACAAAAGGCTTAAATCCATGTTAACAGCACAACGTTTTTATTTTCAGTAGTCTACTGCTATTTATGAAAAGCTGTTGGCCTAATTTAAATTAAGAATAAATGAAAGAGATAACTGTATCAATTGATTATTAATTCAGAGTTCATAAAGAGTGTCCGTCTGTAATAATAAAAAAAGTACATAATAACAAGAATAACATTATTTAAGAAAATGACTATCCATATTATATGATTATCTAACGCTTATTGTTTGGACTTCCACAAAAAGTTAATGACTTCAATCCATAAATATGAGCATGACAAATAGGCGACTTTTAAAATATTAGAACAAGGAGAACTTTGGCATAATTAATTTCGAATCCCAGGTAGTATTTGCAAAATTTTAGATGTCGGATGTAGTACCAGTGACTTTTTTTAAACCAACTTATTTGCTCAAAATTAGTCAAGAAGAGTTTTTGGGCTTTCTCATTATGAATTAGAAGTCAGATTTTGATATTCAAACTAATATGGCAAAACTTTTATAATCTCATCTTCTTTGATAAATCTGCTGTTTTCAATTTTGCAAATCCAAATTCAAATTTGTAACTAGCGATACAAAAAAAGCTCCATGTTCCAAATTTATTACAAAACAGCTGATTTAAAAGGAAAGACTGTGATAGTAGATCCACTATCTTGAATTTGTGACCAGCAAACCCCAAGAGCCTCCACAGACAATATTAAGGTACAAGTACACGTAAATAATCGTTGATTTAAATTCATTTCACTCACTAACTTAAATCTGTCATCTTGTTTTGACCAAGTTTGACCTCCAATTCTTGATATGCGACACTGAAAACCACTTACGTGAGGCTTTAGTTAAGTAAGTGAAGTTAAACTTGTGGTCTGTTATAATTCCATTAACAATACTATATTTATTACAAGACAACTTAATTCTTACACCTTTTTCAGTTTACCAATTTGAAAATTACAAAAAAAACCTTTTTAATACTGTTACGTCTGCGTATAAAACTTTTTTTTTCCTTCAATACATTTTGTCTCCCACAGTCTCAATTATTTTCAAAATCCTCTTATACTATTGCCTTATTTCCAAACGGTCTAAAGTCTAACACGTGTGAAGTAATTGTGCAATATATTATTAACAAAAATCGAACAAAAAGTTATTGAATACATCAATAACGACTAATTAAACACCTACTGTTTAAAAATACTAGAAAATGCTCGGCACCCGTACTACACGCGTAGACTTTTATGATTATCTCAATCAATATTAGTGATATTTTAAATTTGAATATGTTAAACAATTAATAAATTGCGTACGTTTACCGCAAGGAAATTTATATTCTCAAACAGTTCAATTGTCAGTTCGTAAATTAAGTGACCCTGAAATAAATGATTGGACACAGCAGGCTTTTTTGTAAGGTTAAGGTTGGATAAAATTTTATAGCCTAATCCTAGGAGCACTTCTGGAATCTTTAATCAGCCTGTCCGAGAATATTGTACAATTGTTTAAAGTATACAAGAATAACAGTGTGTTTGTAATCATAAAATCAATAAAATTAATGGCCAATCACAGCAAGTTTTTCAACTTCTACATTTGTCTCGATTACCTAATGCTCAATTATAAATATCAATTGACTTCTGGGATATAGAAGTGTTTGCAGAACGTTTAAAAAAATTGGGTCAAGACAAAATACGTATTGTATAACTATGTATGTGAAAATTATTGTAATTCTTATTCGTTGTTTAGCATTATAATATGACTTCTTTAACACAGACCAACGAATAAAGTTTCAAATTAGAAATCTACCGTAGAAGAGAACAACATTTAATACGGTTTCCTGATCTCCAAAAAATTTAATATTTTTTTTTTTTAAGCTAAATGAAATATTACAACTGTATATGAAATTCCATTATCCTGTTATATCTTACATAACTGTACGATTAAAACCTAAATTACAAGCTGGTATAGCGGAGGATGTCTGTAAACTGATCTTAGCTACTAGTTGCGTTTTGACAAAAGCTATAATTGGCTACATAAAATAATAAAACATAGTCTTTAGAGACATCTTTATAGACGTCGATTAGGACATATTTTAATACGTATTTACTTCAGATAGGGTGATATGTAACTTTAAAAATTACGTGCTGCAATTGTTCAGTTTCACTTCCAAACGGATTACTCTGATTAAATGAGGCTTCAATGATATTCTTTAAAGTACTCCCTTTTTGCCCATCCACATAATTTTGAATAAAATACAATTGTTGGTGTGGTAGAAACTCTTACTGATTTACTAAATGCTCTTGTTTACAGCCCCATAAAAAAATTACTGTGGGAGATGGTGCAATATATCCTATAAGATATCTTACAACATATTCTACACAAAATTTTATTAGAAGCCATATAAGATTTCTTGCACGATTTCCTGCATGATATCCCATACGATATTAAGCAAGACTTTCGGAAACTAAAAACTCAATATGTATTATAAAATTTTACCCTTTGAATTTTGAAATTTTTTTGCATAAAAAGGTGTTAAAAGAGCTAGTCTAGGTATTTAAAAAAAAAAAGCATCCCTCATCTCCGATGAGGGGATTTCGAATCTGGTCCGGAAGATGCCTAATCAAGTACCTTACCCACTTACTACCTTACCAAAGCAGATTTGACACTCAAGGAAGAATTTGCGTCCTTATTAGGTACATCCGAAACTAATGTTTATTTTTTTATTTCAAACAATTTTGTGTAATATATGTTTTTTTCATAATTTATAAAAAGAATCATTTTTTTTATCGCTTGGATGAAGAAACAAATTGTTAAACGTTGTGGAAAAGTATCGTGTTCGGTTAATTTTACATTATTATGAATGCAAGTCAAATATCAATAGGAAAACGGAATGATTTTAAACTAATTATGCCAAGTTTATTGAGTTCTTTATTTTGAGAAGCACATAACTTACAGTTAAAATAAGAATACCGTCAAGAAGTACTGCTTCTCAATCATTTGTATTATTTAAATTATGTGAGATGTGTTACGTGAGTATCAAAAATGTAATAAAATTAAGATTATTTTAATACTTTTATTCATAGTGAATACATCTATACGATTACTTAACTTATTTAAAGGTAGTTTCTAAAAAGACGTATAAATCATGTTAGGGACAATAATAGTTTTCAAGAAGCATCAGTGACTTGAATTAATGAAAGATGCTTTGATCATCACTAGTTCACCCTGAAAATGTCGTTAATACTGCTTGTAATAATAAAAAAAATTAAAATTTAATTACGAATATGTATTTTCAACTTCTTAAAGGAATCAAATTTCTGTCTTATTCGAAAAAATCTCATATTCACAAGTTTTTTTTTTAAAAAGCAACAAAATAATATTTTGACCTCAAGTGTACTTTTTTAAGCAATCATACATGAAACAAAAAAATTGCAGTATATAACACATGAATAAAATATTTAAAAAAACGGAAATTAACAATTGAATAAACCAATTAACAAAAAAACAATAATTGTGACAATATCTTTCTCCTAATCTGGACAAACCTAGATCGAAGACCAATGGTCTAGCTGACACTCCTAGTGCAAAACTTTTGATCTTAGCATTAAGTTAAGAATTTCTAGGTACTTTTTAGAATCATTAGTTATTTAATGCTAATTATTCAAATTT